CCACCGCGCGGCCGCCGCGCCGCCTCTGCTCCAGCCGGCCTGTCCGGTCCGGCGCAGAGCTGCGGGGCCCGGCTCGGGACTCCTGAAGGTCACTGCGGACTCCTGCCGGCCCCCGCCCCGCCTGGTTTCGCTGCCCCTGCAGGCACCGCAAGGTCGGCTCTGGCACCCACCCAGGCCCTTGCGGGACAGGCCAGGGTCGTGCCGGGACGCCGGGAGAGCTGGGCTCCTGGCCAAGGGAGGCTCCTGGCCACAGGTGGACACTGCAGGACACTGCATCACTTACCGCCGAGCCCGCCTGGCGAGTCGGCCGGCCTCACCCACCCTGGAGCCCAGTCGTCTGAGCCCAGCCTCCTCCCTGCCAACAGGGACCCTCCACAGAGGTCACCCAGGCCGGGAAAAGCCAGGGGAAGTGCTGGGCCATCCCAGGAGCCTCAGCCCCAGCACTGCCCACTCCTTCCGCGGCAGGGGGCAGCCCCACAGGGGCTCCAACGGCACCTGGAGGCTCTGGGAGTGTGTGAGGTGGGGTCACCTGATCCCACACCGCTCAGCCTGCCGCCTAGCGAGCCAGATCCAAGGTGACATGATGGCCGGGGGAGGGATGTGGCCCGGGAAGGGGAGGTTGCACCCTGTGAGACCCCAGGGTGGCCCCACACTGAGCCTGGACCATCACCCCCTGTGCCCTGGGCAGTTTGCTCAGTCCTAGTGGTACCAGGGAAGTGCACGTTCCTCAGGCCAGGAACGTCCAAGCACTGGGCTTCCAAGCTAGAGCCCAAGGCCAGTTCCACCCTGCAAACCCAGGGCCAGGGGACCCTGCCCTGACCAGCGAACTCTGTGCTGATGCAGAACCAGCCATGTGGCCAGAGACAAGCGCTGTCCAGGGGAAAGAGGCTCTGCCAGCCTTAGATTCTGCCCCATCCCCTTCAGTCTCTGCCTCCCTCTCTGCCTCTGTCTTTCCTGTCTCTGTCCATCTCTCCGTCCTTACTGCATTTCATCTACCCACACAGGAAGCTGCCCTTCTCAGCTCTCTTGTCCAGGCTGAGCTGGGGTGGGATTCAGCCCCACCCCAGGGGCTGAAGGTCCTGTGACGAGGACCTTCTGGAAGGCCTGATGATGGCCACAAGTCTCAGTCCCACGCAGGGAGACGGTGAACAGAGGTGCGATGAGGGGCTGATGGCCAGTGAGCAGGTTGTGTCAAAGGTGGTGGGGCACTGGGAGGATTTCCTGGCATCACTTCCTGCCCTGGTGGGGCTTGGCGCATCTGTCATAGGACGCACATGGCCAAGGCGGCCCCCAGAAACTGCAAATGCAAACTCCACGAGGCAGGACCCAGCGTGGCACTGGGCGCCACCATTTCCTGCAAGATTTCATCTTTGTTTGAAAGGTGACCACTTGAGAAGCAGGGTGGAAGGTCGTCCTTGTCCCCAGAGCTGGGTCAGGTAGAGGGGACACTTCACAGCCACGCACACCAACACCCGCACAGTCAGCACTGGCTGGGAGCCCTGGACACACTGCCTTTTGTGGCCACGGCACTGGGGAGAGGGATAGAGGAGCGACATCTGGAGTGCTGGGAGAGGAGGGAACGCAGGCCACTTGGTGGACATCGCTAAGCAGGGCATTATCCCAGGCCTTGTTGCCTCCCACACAGGAGCTCGGCCCATTCCTTTGGCCTTCAAAGTGCCCAGCCTTACTCCAGCTTATGCTGGCCATGAGCAGCGCTCCAGGCACAGGACACAGGTGAACTGCCCAGGCCCCAGACCTGGCTCTTAGCCTCCTGGGGACCTCAGGACGGAGGGACATCAGGGGAGCTATCTTGGTTATTTTTCTCTCTTGTTGCTGAGACAAAATACCTGATCCCCAAAATTAGGAAATGTTTATTTAGCTCACAGTTTGTGGAGGTTTCAGTCCATACTCAGCTGGCTCCGAGGCAGTAAAGTAGCATATGGCAGAGAGCAACAGTTCATGGCGGCAGAAAACAGCAAAAGCAGCAGAAAGCGAAAAGGGAGGAGCAGAAGCAAGCCTCTTTCTCTCCGTTATATTGTATGCAGGCTCCCTCCCGCCAGGACGAGTGTAGCACTCACGCCCATAATCTCAGCCTTGAACCATGGGTCAATCACAAACTCAAGAAGCCTGCCCCATGACTGCATGAGACTTTGGGGGGACATCCGGACACAAACCATACCAGGAGCCCAGAGCCCAAGGGGGCAAACCTACTTGTACACAGGCCACGTGGCACACCCCTGGGCCTGAGAGCTCTCTGACCCCTTTGTGGCCTGCAGGTCCCCGAGCAACCAGGGCAGAGCCAAGTCATCCAGGAGCGAGAAGACAGGCCCTGGCAAGGGACTGAGGAGGTACAGCCTGAGCAGGCTGCAGACCTGATCCTCTGTGACCTCCCAGGGCCACCCCAGTATGGAAGATGGGTGGCCCTGTGCAGATCAGGCCCCTGGGTCTGGAGCTCCAGCTGCCCATCACCATCCAGGGCAAGCTGGCTGCCTCCATCCTTTGTCTTGCCCGACTTGTGTCATCAAAGGCCAGCTGCCCCCTGTCCCTGGCCTGGAGTCCCAAAACACCCTGAAAGGCCTCGGCACACAGAAAAGCAGGGCCTGGGGTGACTGGTGTTTCAGGTGAGAGTTGAGCCCTCAGCCTGGGGTGGGGTCACCCTGCTGTAGGGCTGTACTGGGAAGGGATTGTGGTGCCACGCTATGGCCTGGTCCCCACAGGCTGCTGGGCCAGAGAGTGCCAGGAGGACAGCGCCCAGCTGCAGGCGCTCAGAGGCACAGGGGACCGCGAGGGGTGAAGGGAAGAGGTACTCCAGGACGGTATCTTGGCAGCCTCTGGTCTTGAGTTCCCGCAGTCTCTCCGCAAATCTGCCTTGTAGGAGCGAGCCAAGGGCCCAGCAGCCCATTTCCCACAGCAAATGCTCACTAGCCAGGGTCCGGCTGTGCCCAGCCACCACCATGCAGGAGCTAGGAGCAGCACAATGCCACTCTGGGCCCCACAGAGCCTCAGCCACCAGCAGGAAGGGTAGACTCGCCAGTTCCCTGTCTGGGCTCTGCTCGGGTCAGCCAGGCCCGTCTTATTTCCCCTGGAAGGTCGTCCCAGGCCCACAGGTGCCCCCTGGCCACCATGGCTTGGCCCCAGGCTTGCCTTGCTGGTGCGCTGGAAGGACAGGGAACGTGGACATGTCACTCATGTGAGGAGCCCACAGGTCACAGTAGCACAAGGCACGGAGCCCCAAGTGAGACCCCACACCACCTTGACGGGGGAGAGCCTGTGTTCTGTGGACACGGAGAGTGGTTCCATCCAGGCCTGAAAGGAAGGACTGTCGCTGCAGCAACAGAGGTTGGCTCCGGATGTGTCGTGTCCAGATGGCAAAGCCCAAGACAAAACCAGATTGGGGTGGGAGGGGTGCAGCTGGTGGGGACAGCACCCCGGGGAGGGGGCCAGTGTGGAAGCAGAGAGGCTGCACCTTGGGGTGCACTGGGTGCTACTGAGCTCAGCACCTGAGAGGTGTGGGGGCTGAGGAGGGGCTGTGAGCTTCCCTGAGGGGGTGGAGGCCGGGCTGGGGATGGGCCCACAGGCTGCTCCTGGGCTGTACACGGGGCCCTCCATGCAGGCTGCAGGTTTGGCAGCCCCTTCTTCCCCACCCTCACTTGAGGAAACTTTTGTTGTCCCAGGCCTGGGCACTACACCTCTGAACCCAGCATCCTGGGCCTCTTGCGCTTCCCTTGGCAAGCTCATTCCAGCCAAGCCCTGTGAGAACCGCTTTTTACCAGAGAATCCTGGTGCCACCGCGGGCTGCTCCTGTCTGACCCTGGGGAAACTTGTTCTGAAGTTCATAGTGCCAGTTCAATAAAAAGTAGAACAAATACTGAACCATGGGTTTCTGAACCACAGCAACACCAACTACAAAATAGCGGAGACCCTCAAATGTTCTGTGTGCCAACCTGGGCCCTGGGCGCTGTGCTGGCCTGCACCTAGGGAGGTTCTCAGGCTGGGTGGGCACAGTCATGGGGCCCCCAGCACAGAAAGCAGGTGCTTGTCCTCAGCTGGTGCTATGCCCCAAGCCTGTGCCCTCGGGATCTGGATGACACAGGGACAGTCCCTCTGAGGCAAAGACTCACAGGCTTCCCTGAGCTGTGCTGCAATGAAAGGGGGAGATCGCACCCTAGAGCCGTGAGGAATCTGACAGGGATGGGGGACAAAGGGATTGCATGTGTGTGGGGACGCCGCTCCAGACCCTGCAGACCCACAGGGATGGGTGAATGGGGACGGCCAGGCGTGTCCCACAGTGGCCCAGGTCACACAGCCCGGAGGACCAGCATCACAGCAAAGTCACTGGCGTTTTCTACAGAACAGGGTGATCAGAAAGAGGGCACAGTGATGAAGAGGTCCTGGGGAAACTGAGGTCAGGGCCGCAGTCACCATAACAGCAGGGCCAGGGAGATGCCGAGAGACGCTGCATGCTATGCACATTTCCGAGCCTGAGCTGACATGTGGCAAGTGTCCCCTCTGCCTGGGACTTCTGAGGACAGCTGGATGCAGGTCTGACTTGGCATGGGCCAGGCAGTGAGGTCCAGGTCACCCTGCTCCTGGAGGACCCCTGCACAGACAGTGGTCACGTGGGTGGTGCCAGGGCAGAGGACAGATGGGAGCTTTAGGACATCACCCAAGAGAGCACTGAAAACCAACACCCGCCCCAGGCAGCACATCAGCAGGGACAGGGCCACAGGACAGACCTAAGCAGATGGGGTGGGCAGGTCCTGAGGACACAGCTGGCTACACAGGGCCCACACCCCTGCCCCACAGCCCGGTCTGAAGAGCACAGTCTGGGCCACAGGGCACAGCCAGGGACAGGATGGGTGCCAGCTGCAGCCCCAGCCCCAGTGCACAGGGTGGGGCCGTCAAGCCCTCCTGTGAGGTGCTGGGAAAACTTGGGGGCATGCCCCCACATCTGCACAACGCCAGGCGGGGCCATGACTGACCGGGGACACCTCCCAGCTGGGCACTGTGGTAGTGGGCTCACCTTGGCCTCACCCAGGGTCCCTGGAGAGCAGTAGGGCACCGGGCCCCATAGCCCACTACTTCCCCGCCCACAGCCAGGGCCGCCTGCCTGCACATATGTCTGGGACTCGGCTCATAAGGGCTGAGAGTGGGCATGTTTCAGGGCCAGAGAGCAATGTCCTCTCAGGCAATCAGGGATAGAGACGTGAGGCTCTGGTGGACACAGAGATGGAGAGTGAGAGGTTCGTGCCCTGTGCTCAGCTCCTTCCTGCCTGTCCCGCTCCCTCCCCTCCAGATGTCTGCATCACCGCTGGTTTGGCTGGGATGAATAAAGGCCCAGGATGCTCATGACGTGAGGAAATGGGATTCCACTTCTCTTGAGTAGGTGTCTAGGAGTAGAATTCAGTCACTTTGTTAAGTGTGCTTATTTTAAATGTTTTCCAGGAGGATGGCACCGTTCTCACCTCTGCCTGAGGCCCAAAGGCTCCACCCTCAGGCATACCGGGCAAGCTTCAAGCTAGAAGTCCTCCAACCTCACTGCTCTGGACATGTATGTTTCTTCCCAGCAGGCACTGCTGGGCTCCTCCCATGAGGGAGGCTTACCACCCTCACGGCCCTCTCCTTTTTGTGAGAGATGCATAAAATTCTTGCCCTTTAAGAACAGTGGGAGGTTTGTCCTCTGCTCAGTTGTAAGGCTTTCCTTTTAGTACTTTAGATGCTAATCTTTGCCAGGTATGTGAACTACACATATCTTCTCTAGTCTTTACCTGCCTTTTCTCTTAACTGTCCCTTAGAGCAACTTTTGATTGTAGTGAATCCATTTGCTTATTTGTCCTGTATGTTTTTCACGTGCTTTTTGTATGTGTGTGTTGTGTGTGTAGGATGAAGACTCCCTACACTGCCCAGGCTGGCCATGAACTCAGGGCTGAGCAACCCTGCCACAGCGCCAGGAATACCTAGGACTACAGATGACACCACACCCCGGCTTAGTTCAGTCTGTGCCTCTTTCTTGAAACCTTGTCACTTTTTGACTTAATAACTTTTCTGCAACAAGCTTGCAAAGTTTTCTTTCTGAAGATTTGTAGTTTATCATTTACAGTTTGGTCTATGATCCCATTGTTTTTTTTAATATTCCTGCCTCAGCCTCTCAGGGTCCGGAGGTCACAGGCATGCAGCAGTATGCCTGACAATGATCCGGTTCATTTTTGTGTATACTGTAAGGAGGTAAGAGTTTCATTTCTCTTCCGAAGGATACTCAGTTATTCAAATACTGTTTGTTGGAAAAGTTTTCTTTCCCCCGCTGGTTTGCTTTGGGATTCCTATCAAAAAATCAGTTGACGTGTGTGCACCTGGGTCCACTTCTGGATTCGAGCTCACTTGTCCCACTGATCCATGCGTTTACCCTTATGCTGATGCCACCACATTCTCTATGCTTTATAGTAAGTCTCAGAGGAAGGAATTTGAGCGATTCACGTCTGTCCTCTTTCAAAATTTTTTCAGCTTTTCTAGGTTATGTTTCTAAATTCAGTTTTAGAATCAGCTAGCCCATTTCTAGGGAAAAGTCTGCTGGAATGTATGGGGATTCCATCGAAGGTATAGGCTGGTTTGGGGGAGCTGACATCTTAATATTCTTGAGTCTTCTAATCCATGAGCAAGATATGTCTCTCTGTGTTCTTAGTTCTACTTAAATTTCGCCACTAAGTTGTGGAGTTTTTATTCTTTTCACAGCAAGGACTTTTATGAGTAAGACTGGGCAGATACTAGTGAAAGTGATCTAAAAGCATTTGTTTTGATCCTATTGTGTCTATCTCATTCCCAAACATTCTTTGTCGGTTTTGATAACTATGTCTTTTAAAGAAGTAGTACATTTCATCTAAGGTATTAAATTTTTTGGTATAAAGTTGTTAATTATTATTCTTTTATTGTCAGTAGATTCGGTTGTGATGTCTCCCTTTTCATTCTTTATTTTTGTTGTTAGTATAACCAAAGACAGTTGATTTGGGGAAAAAGATGAAAGAAAGAGGATAGACAGTTACTGTGAGGTGGTGAGGGACTTCTGAGCTGAAAGCCCCTGCCCTTTCATTCTTTTGTTTGTTTGTTTTCTCCGGTACCGGGAACCGAACTGACGACCTTGCACTTGCCAGGCAGGCGCTTTGCCGCTGAGCTAAATCCCCAGCCCCTGCCCTTTCATTCTTGACACTAGTAATTTATATACTGTCTCTTTTATTCCTTGAGCAGTCTATAGATATCTATTTATTGAGCTCATAATTCAAAGTTCAGACTCACTGATTTTCCCCCCATTGTTGGTTTATATTCTATTCCATTATTAATTATTATTATTTGTTTGTCTTTTTGTCTTTCTGAGACAGGGTCTCGCTATGCAGTTCAGGGTAGCTTTGAACTCACTTTGTAGCCCAGGCTGGCCTGGAACTCACAGCAATCCTACTGCCTCAGCCTCCCCGAGTGCTGGGATTACAGGCGTACACCACACCTTGCTGTTCCATTGATCGATGCACTTTTCTTTACTATTTTCTTCCTTTGATTTACTTTGGGTTTAATTAACTCATTTTAAAAAAAATTTACTCTTGATATGCTCTCCTTTTCTAATATAAATAACTAAAGCTATAAAATTCTAAGCATTGCTCCGTCTCCCACAAATTTTGACACACTGATGTTCATTTCCGATTTCTTTTGTGATTTCTATTTGACCCATAAGTTATCTTAGAAGTTTGTTATTAATTTTAAAGTACTTAGGGGTGATGATCAGATTTTTTTTTTTCTGCAAATGAGTTCTAATTCTGTTCTGATTAGAGAACATATTCTGTAGTATTTCAATCTTTTGGGATTGAGACTTATATGGTCTACCCTCATGAATGTTTCATATTCATCTGAAAAAGAACATGACTTCTTCATTCTTTGCTGGAATTGTCTATAAGCATCTGTTAGGTCAGTTTACTGTTCAGGCTTTTATATTCTTTATATAATTTTGTCTACTTGTTCTATTAATTACTGCAGGAGGGGTGTAGAGGTACCCAATTACAATTGTTGATTTATATATTTCTCTTTAAAGCTTTGTAAGGTTTTGTTTCACATATCACAAAGTTCTGTTATTGCGAACATACATACTTAGGAACATTATGTTTCCCTGATGTATTTAATCTTGCATCATTGTGAAATGCTTCATTCTGTCAATACTGCGTTGTAAAGTCTACTTTGTGGTATTAATGTGGCCACTCCAGTTTAACCACGATTAATGTTTGTGTGGTACCTCACTCCTGTCTTCATGTTTATAATGGGCTCATATACACAGTAAGAGCTGGACATTGCTCTTCACCCATTCTGAAAATCTCTTCCCTTTAGTTGATATTCACACATTTTAACTGACATCATCTATTATGTTGCTATTTTTTATTTCTTCCATTCATTTCTAGTTGCTTTTTTTTCTTGACTTCTTTTGAATTGGGTGACTACCTTACAGGATTCCATAGTTTAATTCTGCTATTAGCGACTTTTAAAAAAATCTAAGGCTTTTCCAGGGTTTCTACTGTTTAGCGGTAACTCATCTCTGCCAGCCGTCAGTGATGGTCCACCTTCTGCTCGAGGGGAGATGCTTGTGATATTTCACTTCTGTATGTGTCCTGAACCGAACCATACATAGCGGTTATTTTAACTTTAGCAATTACTTTAAACATAAAATTTTAAAATGAGAAAAAAACCCTCTGCTTTTTACCCACATATTTTAGTTTCCACCCTTTCTGTCCCAGTTTGTCACGGTTCCCGCCAAGCGCACACACATACATGTCTCCACACTCAGCAACATCTTGGGGCCCTGGGAAGGTTTCTGGGGCTCCCTTCTGTTTGGGCTGTGCCTCTGACTGTACTGCCGCACTCACCGTGTTTGCCCTCTTCTCTCTGCGATCTGTTGCTCGCTGTCCCAAACAGCCATGTACGTTTTGTTTGGCTTCTGGTGGCGTGGGAAGTTGGCTCCCTGTTGCTCTAAGTTTCAGGGTGAAGGCTGAAGTGTCTGCTGTGGAAGTGTCTGCTACAGGAAGCCCACAGGCAGGTGGCCGGTGTTCACAGTTGCTGTGGTAAGGGGCTGGGCTGGGCCCCTCCTCAAAGTGACCCAGGTATTTCAGAACCAACCAGGAATGGAGGGAACCTCTAGCTTGAAGCTCTGCCAGTGGGGGCTGGCCACAGGGATCCCACTGGTTGGCCCAGGAAAACTGTGAATGTGGCCAGGACAGGGGCCAGCAATCTGGGGAGGTGTGGATGGGTGAGTATGACCTGAGCCAAGGGTGGGAGGAGCCCCAGAAGTCTACACTGCCAGATTCCCATACCCAGGGAGATGGCCAGTTAGGGTCAGGCCTGGCCGCAGAGGCCCTGCCAGGGCTGCCCTGGAGCCCAGGAAGCCATGTAGTACCCAGGCCTGGGTGCTAAGCTGGGCAGGCACATGAGGGGTCTGGGCACAGATGCAGGCGGGAAGCAGATCTGGGCGGGGAGGCTGGTGGCCTTCCTAGCACACCCACTGGGCAGGCTGCAAGGTCTCCCAGACAATGAGCTTGGCCTGGTCTTGTCTCTGCCCCATGGTGAGATGACCTTTGGAGCCGCTGGTTGGGCCTGGCCCTCACTCCAGAGGCCGGGTTCTCCTGGACTCAGCTTCTGATCACTTCTTTTGCTTTGCAGTCAGTGACCTCAGAGCAGCTGAGACCAGAGCTGTGGCCCGAGCTTCCCACTGCCCCAGGGCAGTCCCCTCCCCTTGCAGCGCTAGCTGCTCGCCTGCTGCACTGGCCACTTGTCTGCTCTTCGGTGTCCTGAGCAAGCGGGGGTGCGCTGAGGCTCTTGTGAGAGGTGCGTCAGTGTTTGTTGGGCAAATGAAGCCCAGCAGTGCTGCCCTCCGGCCGTGGGCAGAGCAGACCCTGATGGGGTCCAGGATGCTTGCCTGCACCTGCAGCTCCTGAACCACAGCCCTGCGGCTCCCCCTCACAGGTGTGACAACAGTCGGATCTGTGTCCTCCGGGTCCTGGGCAGGGCTGAGTGCAGTTCATGCCTAGGGAGGCCAGGCCCCCAGTTCTGGTAGGGCTGCAGTGAAGCCTGGGGCTCCCTCACTCAGCTGTGCACTGGGGAGAACGCCAGGGCCTCCCCCAGGTGGCTCCCGGGAGTGTGGGAGAGGGAGCCAGGCAGTCCACCAGACCTCTGGCCAAAGGAGCCGCTGCCTCATGGCTGTGCGCCAAGTCCCCGCAGGGGCAGGGAGGGGTTGGGGATAGACACTGGGCCGGCCTCCCCTCCTCAGGGGTCCCAGCAGCCCTGCCCCAGGCCATGCTCTCAAATACCTTCCCAGAATCCCGCCTGCCCATGTGCCCAGCTCTCCCCTCCCACCCTGGGCAGCGGAGGCCCTGCCAGGGCTGTCCTGGGGCCCAGGGAGCCACGTGGCCCAGGCACCTTCCAGGGCAGAGCTGGGTCCTGGCAGACACAGCTGCTGCTGGTCCTGCGCACAGGCTCTCGCTTCCACCGCACATTCCTCTTCAGCGTGGCATCCTCCACAGAGCACAGGCCTGAGCTTAACCCCGCTGCTGTGTGGCCAGCTGGCTCCCCTCTGCTGCCACGTATCACCACCCAGCTGGTGCCCACTGGGCCACTCCACATGAGCGGCCCTGAGCGGTGGCCATCTGTGCACCACACGGTCGCTGGTCGACGTGGTCCTGTGGGAAGTCCAGGTTTCACTTGCAGGAGGCAGCCACACTTTTCCAAAGTGGGCGCACACAGTGTGCACACTTCTGGCTGGCCTCTCCGGGAGTCCTGGGGTGGGTGTGGTCCCCACCTAAGGATACCAGCCATCTGTGTGTCAGCTGTGTGTTCTGCAGGAGGCAGCACTAGCGTCTTTCATGGTTCCTGGTGTGGACGTCCACCATGCACCAAACGCTGCGGACAGGCCCCTGGTTCATGTGGGCCCCGCGGGGCACGGTCTGCGGCCTGGGCTGTGATGCATGTTTGTCTACACTGACACTGACAGAGGGGAGGCTGGGCCCTGCAACCGGGACCCCTCCTTTCCTATCTCCAACACCCAGCCAGGGTCCTGACGAGCAGGACGGAGCTGTGGTTCAGCCTGTCGGGAGGAGTGAGGGACAGCAATGGGGTGGGGGAGGCCAGCCTGTTAACCAAGGGCCAAGGGGCAGATGTGGAGATGCCAGGAGTGGCCGTGCCCAAGGTTGACACCCCCTTACCGGGTTCCAGGGGCCCTGGGCACACCCCAGTCCCGCCAGAGGGCCCCACAGATCCCAGGATCCCATCCCTTGCTGCAGGTCTGGGGCCGGTGCTGCCCTCCTCAGCACTGCGGGCCTGCTGGGTGGGCCCCTGGATCCAGATGACTCTGATGTGTTTGGGCACCTATTTAGGTTGCTCATTATTCTTTAAAGGAGCCGGATGCTAAAAATAGCGGCCGTGCATAACAAATCAGAGTCGCTGTTCTGGAAGCTGGCGCAGGAGTGACAGAATCAGGCTGTGGCACTGGGAGCCTGCTGGGTCAGGGGCTGTAACAGTCTGAGGTGGCCACGCAGCCAGAGCCACCAGGGTGTCCAGGCAGAAGGCTGCAGAAACCTCCATCCTCCAAGGACAATACCAGTCTCCCCTGCGGGGTCCTCCTCCTGGCCTTGGTGACTCAGGGTCACTGAAACAGGGGCCCTGCTCATCCTGGCCGTGGCCCTGACCTGAGCAATACCCCATGCTGCCCTCTAGTGGCCCAGGTCGCCTCTCCTGATACCACAGCAGGTCCCATGGGGGCCTGGGGTTCCCAGTTGTCCCCATTCTTGGGTCCCCAAGCACTTTTGGACACAGCCTCTCCAGAGTTTCTGCCACACTCTCCTCTCTGCCCCACACCAGGCAGCTGACAGGGACCCCAGGGATGCCAGGCCCACAGGGCACCTCGCTAGGCTCAGCAACTTACGTGTTACAGGAGGCCACATGATGATGCTCAGGGCCTAAGCACCAGCATGGGGCCCATGGCAGGGTGGCGGCAGGTGGGCAGTGGTGAGGGGACAGCAGGGCCACAAGCTCACACCACCAGTCACTGCCCCGAGGGCACAGTCCTAAAACTGCACAAGGACACATTGCCCACAGCCATGGCAACTGCTGCTAATGAGGGGTTTTAACCTCCTGAGCAACAAAACCCACAGGCGCAGGGCAGCCTATGGGCAGTGTGACTCGGCCTTGGAGCCTAGCCTGGGGCTCAGTGACAGCCCTGAGCAACAGGATGGGGGTGAGGGCCTTGCATGGTTTCCCAGAAAACTGTAAACGGACCAAACCCTCAGAGCCCTGTGTGGGGCTTTATACCAGGACCCAGGGCCAGGAATGAGCCTGACTGACACTGCCTTAAGACGAGTCTGGTGCAGCAGTCTGATGCAGTCACTTTGTCCTGACCAGTGTACATACACACCCCTCCTCCTGACCCACTGCAGTGTCATCTGGCGTTGCTACCACCAGTACTGTGTGACCCTGGGCCTGTCTGCCTCCTCTTCAGTCTCATGGCACCCTGGGGATGGACCTTAGACACTGCACCCAGGCTGCTCTGGACACCATGTCCCAGGGCAGTACCAGGCAGCCGAAGCCCCCCACACCATGCTCCTGGCCAGCCTGTTGCAGGCGACCTCCAGGACACCAATGGCTTGAGGTCACTGGATGCCTGAGTGGGCTCGGACCTGGCCAGCAGAACAGGTGTCCAACTCTGCAGCCCATGGTGGTGGGAGTTGGGTCTTGAACTTGAGGGGACAGTGAGGAGCGGCTCCCAAGGAAAGCGGGTGAGGCTGGGCAGGGAGGACTCCATGGCCCGGCCCAGGCTCCCTTCTGCTTCCTCTCTGGAAGCTTCTTCTGGTGCAGTGCTCAGCCACGAGGACAGGGTCACCGAAGGTCACACTGGTGTCTGCCCCAGCTGCAGGTCAGGGTCCAGATCCACGGTGTAGCAGGTGAGAGGCTGAGGAAGAACGGGTGACGGCCTGGCACAGCCCCTGCCAGGGTGGAGACCACGCGTCGTCAGAAAAAGTTTAATCATGTACAACGATCATCAGACTGATTACAAAGCAGGATGGACACTGCAGCCCTGAGAGCAACAGCAGAGCATGCAGTGGACAGCGTGCCGGAGAGGCGACACCAGACACAGGATGAGTCACGGACTGTGACGAACGTGGGAGCAGCGTAAATCAGCACTGCTCCTCTGGACAAGGAGGAAAATGAAACAACAAAAATCAGCTTTGGAATGTTTTCCGCCCTGCATTGCAGGAGGCTGTCTGCCCGGGACCCACACAGGACAGCAGGCAGTGGAGGATCTGAGCTGCTCGGGCCACATCAATGTCACGCCTCGTAGCCCGGGAGCCTCCCAGGCCCCCCAACTCAGCCTTGGCCTCAGCCTCAGCCTCAGCCTCATGAGCACTTGCACAGCCACCCTAGGGCCTCAGAAGAGGGGCCTTGAGCCCTGGTTCTCAAACTCAGACCAGGCGTCATTGAGCTCCATGAAAATCATCTTGGCGTACTGCTCATAGGGCTGCCCCGTTGCCTGCCAAGAAAAAGAGGGGCAAGAGGTAGTGAGCGGTTGCCCCGCCCCACCTCGCCCTGCCCACTGCGCCTGCTCACCTTGTCAGGGTGCACAACCAGCACCGCACGGCGGTACTGCTTCTTCACCTGCCCCGGTGTCACCAGGTCGGCCATGCTCACGGGTGTCCAGCGCTGCTCCCCGTCCCACAGCACCGTGTGCAACGTCGACAGCAGCGCACGGATGTTCCTCTCCTTGCCCTCAATCCAGTCCAGGAGCTGTCGGGGACCCCACACAGGCTGAGCACTGGCCCGCGGGGAGCTGTCCTCCCCAGCAGCTGCCACCTGCTGGCCCTGGGGTCAGGTTTGGTAGTAGCTCCTGGGAGACAGCCTGGACCTCAGACACTGTCCCATCCCTCTCACCCATCACCTCAACCATCCCACTCCTGCCCCGGGTCCCCAACACCACATGGGGGTTCAAGTGGCAGTGTCCTGGCATTCGCTAGACACAAACGCTGGCCCCGTGGCACAGCCATCCCAGCCTGTGGCTCAGGGCCCAGGGGGCAAGTGGGTTCCCAATGGTAGGACAGGGCTTGTGCCTGGAAAAGCCACTTACCACTACCTACACCTGCACACAAGGTGCTCCTCTGACTCCGTGGGATACTGCCTGAGGGGCCACACTGAGTGTCCCAGGCCAGGGGAGAAGCCGAGAGTGACACTGCTGCCCCCTCAGGCCATCCAGGCACGTCTCAGGCCCAGGAGGTACAAATCTGACCATCCTGTCCTGCATACTCTGGGCAAAGGTCCCATGTGTTGAAGTGCTAGCTCCCACACACAAACCGACCCAGCGCCAGCCTGCCTACCTTCAGCTTGAGGGGGTCTGTGTCTCGGGCGAGGTCCTGCTTCCTCATCTCCGCCATGGTCTTTGGCCCCTTCTTGTCAGACTTTGAGAAGCCTTGGTTGGGCAGCAGATCTTCAAAGTCATTCTCTGAGACCTTTGGCTTTTGGGCTGGAAGGGAACAGGAGCTTTGCAGAGACACTGGCCCCTTCCCTGTTCCACCCGGGCCCTCTGCTCCGGGGCAGGACTCTGTCCTGAGGCTTACACAGAAAAGGGATAGGAAGAGAGTATAGCCCCAAATGCCATCTGCCAAACCTGGTAGAGAAGCTGATGCTGGGAGAAAGAAGGCCTGCAGGTGGTCAGGGAAGGCACCAGCAGGCAGGACTCCACGCTCTTCCCACAGGCACCACGGTGAGCCCTGCCACCACCCCAGGCAGGCCCTACACACTTCCTGGATGGGACTCACCAAAGCTGGGCACACGGACCCCCCGCTCCTCTCGGTCCCCAATCACGCTGAAGTTTGTGGAATAGTTTGGCCTCGGCGGTGCGCAGGTTTTGGCGGGAACCTTGGGCTGGGGGGGCCATGAGGTGCCCTGGGCTGGTGGCCGACTTGTCTGCCAGGAGCTGCCACCTTTGGGGGGAGGGGCTGTTTTGGGAGCAAAACTTCCAGGTGGGGGTCCAGCAGCTGGGCCTGGGGAGAAGACCACATGACACTCAGGCTGCTATCATGCAGCAGCCGTGCAGACAGATGGGGCGATGTCTCCTGGGCCTGGAAACATGGTCACTTAAGCTGGCCTGCTCCATTCACACTCGTGAGGGGCAGACACAGATGTCCCCGTGCCCCCGCCCACAGCAGCCGGGGCTAAGCATTCCCATCGCAGAGTGGCCTGAGCCCCTCAAACGTGTACCTGATGCTTTCACTTTTGTAAAATAATTAGGATCACAGAAGCTGAGCTGACTCAGGCCTAAGCCCCTGCACCGAGTCTCCCCAGGGCAGCATCTGCCAGTCCCAGTACACGGCCCCTCTGTGTATGGGTCTGCACGTTCTGCCACAGTGCAGATCCCAGTAGCACCATGGCTGACTGATGTGATCCTGTCCCTTGACAGTTCTGTCACACCAAAAGCATTCTACAAAAAGAACCAACACAGGGATCTCTGCACCCCAAAGACAGTTTTGTTTTGTCTTTTTGAGACAGGGCCTTGCTGTGCAGTTCAGGCTGGCCTTGAGCTCACTTTGTAGCCCAGGCTGGCCTCAAACTCACAGTGATCCTCCTGCCTCAGCTTCTCGAGTGCTGGGATTACAGTGTCAGTCAGCTGTTGACAGTGAGAGGTTCTTCCTGGCATGGAAGGACACCTTGCCTATCCTGCTGCCACTGGCACAGACAGCACTCCGGAAGAAGCCACTGCTGATTTCTCTGGGTAACTGGCAGGCAAGTGTGGTGGTTGTGGTTTAGTTTTGCAGGAAACTGACCAAGAGTGGCTGTGTCATTTTATACTCCCATCAATGTGTGTGGGAAGTCAGCTTCCCCAGACCTCCTGGTACTAGGTGCTGCCCCTTCAGCACCCAGGAGGCTCCATCTCTTACGCTGCCTTCTGGTGCAGAGCGGTGCAGGGATGAGCCTGCTGTGCTCCTGACCACAGATGCCCACCCAGCTTCTCCCAAGGCAGGATGTCCCCTCTTGCTGCTGGCTTGCTGGGCTCTGCAGTGATGTCTGTCTTTCCTCTTCTGCCAGGGTGTAAATTCTATCCATCTTTCCAAAGAACGAAGTTTTTTTTAGATTTTTAAAATCATTCCTTTCCTTTTACTTGGTTTGGGTTTATCCTGCATTTCCTTTTCAAATTTCCTGGGTGAGAATGCATGTTGCTAGCGAGACACCTGGGAGTCTCTTCCAGCGTGGCTCAGCTGTGCTTGGCTTCTTGTCATTCAGTCCCTTGTCTGGCTCTGTCCACCAGGCCCCCAAGCCCCTCGTCACGGGCAAGGGCTGCTCTGTCTCCAGGGAGACGCAGCTCCCATCACCCTGCTGTCACTGATCCCTAGTCTCACCGTGGCTGTGGCGGTGGTGAGTGCACTGTGCTCTCGGGTCTGGGGCAGGCACGCGGCAGGGACTGGTGCGGCTACCTGCGCTGTGCCAGCCCATTCTCTACCCGGCTGCGTCAGCCTCTTGGGCTCCCTCCAGAATAGGTGCCCTGGTCCTCAGAGCTCTCCTCTCTGACTGCAGCCTATCACATGGGCAGAGACAGAGGCAGCGGGGAGCGCTGCTCAGGCCCCAGAGGGACAGCAGCCTCAGAGAGCAGCAGTTTTAAAAAAACTGAAGTATTTAAAGAACAAAACTCCTGGGATGGAACTACAGAACAGCAGCAGAGTGAGGCTGGGAGATGAGGAGGAGGCACGGGCTGAGGCGGGTGCCAGAAACCACACTGCTGCCCAGGACTCACGGGTCAGGGACAGGGCAAGGCCAGCAGGGGACTGCAGAGCCGGGGCCTCAGGACCGGCACAGCCCCGAGGGACCAGCCCACAGCCCCCAGCTGCTGCAGACGACAGTAGCCAGCTGGCCGGGCAGGACCTCCATCCAGGGTCTCCACCTGCGGCCCAACATGAAAGCCAACAGCCGGGTGTGGCAGTGCACACCTGTAATCCCAGCACTCGGGAGGCTGAGCAGGAGGACCGCCATGCGTCTGAGCCAGCCTGGGCTACACAGCAAGACCTTGTCCCAAGAAAAGCACGAAAGACACCTGGCAGCTGCAGCCGCAGCCCTCAGACACCCAGGGCTCTCACCTTACCTGGGAGGCTGGAGCTGAGGTCACGGAGGTCGCCGAGGTCAGCAAATGGGTCTAGGCTCTGAGACTTGGTCTGGCTGGGGTTGGGGCCCGCAGAGGCTGGCTGAGCTCCAGGAGGGAAGAGGGGTCCTGGAGAAGGGCGGAGGGTATCAGACAGGAGAAAAACCCCTCAGGGCCCCTCAGGGATCAGCCTGAGGAGTGGGGGACAGAACCACCACCCAAAGAGCATGTCCATACTGAACTGCTCAGTGCCCATGTTACACCAACAATGAGGTACTACTTGCTAGAATCTCTCTAAAAAGTGAGTATTCTTCACGATGTACCTCAGGATAGTGTAAATGTGAGAACACCTTTAGTCACATTGTTCCTTTATGAAATATTATGCTGTCATTAAAAATGATGACTGTTCACCCAGAAGCAGTGGTGCACATCTGTAATTCCAGCACTCTGGGAGGTTGAGGCAGAAGGATCACAAATTCAAGCCCTGCCTGAGTAACTCAGCCACATAACAAGATTCTGTCTCAAAATAAAAACTAAAAAGGACTGGGTATGTAGCTTCATTAAAAAAAGATGATTTCCAGGTATGGTGGTACATGCCTGTAATCCCCACACTCTGGAGGCTGAGGCAGGAGGATCACTGCAAATTCAATACCAGCCTTGGCTACAAAGTGAGTTCAAGGCCAGCCTGAACTGCATAGTGAGACCCTGTCTTAAAAAGTCATTAAAAAAAAAAAAGATGCCATGGCCATTCCTATAATCCTAGCACCTGGGAGACTGAGGCAGGAAGATCACTCTAAGGTCAAGGCCAACCTGGGCTACCTAGTGAACTCAAGGCCAGTCTGCCAATGCAGTGAAACCCTGTCTCAAAAAAAAAAAAAAAAAAGGTGATTATTCACATGTACAGAGCTTTCACAAATCAGTAAGAAAGACCAGAACTGCCTATGTGAAAAAGGAGCAAACAAGTGAATTCTCAAAAGAAACGCAAATAACTAAAAACACATGAAATAAAAGTCAACTTGATCTGTAATGAAAAAATGCTAATCAGAAGCATCAATGACCAATGAAATTGGGGAAGCGTCTAAAATTATTGTAGAATTAAAAAAAATAAAATAAAATAATTGTTGAATTGCATGAGAAATGGAGGGCAGTGGCTGCTCCTGGGCAACGGGCTGATCCATGCGTCCGAGCGGAGACGTCATGGCCGGAAAATAGCCAGGCGCAGCCACCCAGTGTGCACTGTGCACGCAGCCCTCACGGCACAGGGCTTGCAGCACCGGGGGACAGACCGGCCTTTCAGAGCCCACAGAGGTGCAGGGCAGCCTTGGACCCCAGGCAACCAAAAAGACGGAGTGTGACGCTTCCAAAGCATCCGCCTGCATGACAGAAGGCTGCAGCACCCACAGCCACCAAGCGCACCCTGGGACCTGCACGTAGGCAGCTCCTGTGGGGGGTGGCGCATCGCTTGGCATGACCCAGGCTGGTGTCCTACCTTCTGAGGCTGGCCCGGGCACAGCAGCCTCAGCCCAGGCGTCCCATCCCCCGAGTAGGTCTGGGTGGCTGGATGAGGCCGTCACCTTGCTGGGCTCTGCTGGCAGGTCCCCTGGAAGAGGAGGCCAAGGAAGCATGACCGGGGTCTCTGCAAGCCCAGCTCCCCACTGCTTCCACCCATTTCCTGTGAGCAGGAGGCCAAGGGAGGAACACAGCCTAGGAGCCCACAGGGATCTGTGCTGGGAAGCAGCTGCACTCCAGCACCTACCCGGTGGCCAGAGCTGAGGCTGGGCTTGGTCCTCACCAACAGCTGGTGCTTTCTGATGGACAATGAGGCCACTGCAACACATGGCTACTGAACTGACTGGCAGGACTGCCAAGGTGCCCACTGGGCCCCTCACAGGGCAACCACAAGAATGACACCTGGAATGCTGCCTGAGTGGCTCGGAGACCCTGGTGCAGCCATGCAGAGCTCTAGGCTGCCTTCTCACAGCTCCTGAGCCTCGTTGGGGCCCACAGCACAATGGACACATGGGTGTCCTCCGCCTGACCCCCTGGGTGCATGGCTCGGCCTGTCCTCCACTAGCCACGGGCCGTGGGCTACATGCCAACAGTAGCAGTCGCTCAGCACCCCGAGCCACCTGAACACGCTGCTCCTCTGCAGGATGAGCTGAGCACTCCCGCCAGGAACACACCAGAAGTAGCTGGGCTCCTCCCTGCCCAGGGCTGCCTCTGGGAGCAGGGCTACTGTCCAAGCCAGGGCTCGGCTTTCTTCACCCAGCACACCAGGCTTCCAGCCTCCCAGCCTCAGCTTCTTAGACTCACTTCCGAGCCCATTCCCTACCTCCTGGCCTTTGCGCCCTACAAATGCTTCAGGCAAATGAGGGTGGCCTTCTATGGCCACAATCCTGGGCCCAGGAAAAACTTCTGGAAGGGTCAACTGGTGTCCTGACTCTGTGAGTGCCCAGCAGGCGCCCTGGAACTGGAGGGCACTGCATGAAACAGAAGTCCCAACCCCACCACACAGACAGCATGGCTCCTGGCATGCAGCCCACCATAAACACTCACCCAGGGGCAAGAAGGTGGCACAGGATGGCGGTGGGGCGCTGCTGGTATAGGGGAAGGTTGCTGGGGCTGCCACGGGGTCTGCATGCAAGAACTCGCCGAAGAAGTCGGGCTGGGAACAAGGCTGGGAGTTGGCATTGGAAGTCAGAAGGAGCGGGTCAAACGGGTCAGCTGTGGAGACAGCAGACAGAGCTAGGCACTGGCACCGTGACTCCGCAAGCACAGCCAGAGCTGCCACCCCGTGCCCAGACCCATGGCCACTTCTGGGAAACTGCTGTCTACACAAGGGGCTCAGACACCTGTTCTCCGACACTCAGCAGCTCGAGACACCAATCCCACAGATGCCAGCAGGCCGGCAAAGAAAGGCTGGCAGCCAGGGATGTGAGCTTGGCGGGCACACGTGGGAGCAAGCAGGGCCTGGCACTGTGCACCCACAGGAAGCTTCTCCAAGACAGCTCCTTTGCCTAGGAGCCCAGCTGCATTCACTTGGGGAAGGGGGCATACCTGTGGCAGGGGGCCCTCCCTGTGGGGTGCTCTGTGCACTCAGAGGAGGGGCAGGGCTTGCCAGGAGCAGGGGGGCCTCGCCTCCCAGCAAGTCGTTGGGTTGCCCCTCCAGAGCGGATTCAGGGGGCCCCAGGAGGCGGCTAAGCAGGGCAGTGTTGCTGGAGAGCGCCGTGCAGGCCTGTGCAGAGGCAGCTGGTCCTGGGGCAGCCTCCGAGTGCAGCCCCAGGAGGTCAACACCGTCTTCCTGCAGCCTGGACTCCTGTGGTGAGGCTGGGGTGGCTGCATCGAGCATTGGGTCTTGCTGCCAGGCCCCTGCCACAGGGCCTGGTAGGTCCTCACTGGCCCCAGGCTGGCTATCTCCACCAGGGACTGAGGGTGCCTCTTCATCTGATACTTCGCTTTCGTCTCTGTCTGTGATCAGGACAGCCTCGCTCTCCTTACAAGAGAGCCCTTCCACACTAGTTTCTGTTTCTTTCTCTTCTGTGAAAAAAAATAAAAAATAAAGACAGCAGGTCAGTGGAGCCGCAGGCTAGTGTGGCTAGACAAGGACAGGGCAGGGTGACACATGGGCTGGCTGCCAGGGCTGTAGCCACGTCGGGTTCGGTGTGTGTTTTGAGGCATGGGCCCCACGCCGCGGCCTCTAACAGGGTCCAGGCTTCGCTTCAACCCCTCCCTGAGCCCCACCTTGGGGGCTCCGTTGCCCTCTCCAGGGCCGTATATGCACCTCTGTGAGCCTCAGCCAGTGGGGACACAACCAGCAGATCTTGGGAGGGTCTGGCTGAATCCCCTGGGCTGACAGTTGGTAGCAGTGGGGTGTGTGTATCCCTGGTTGTGGAGCGAGAGTGACACCTTCTAGGTGTTTGGTGGGGATACAGCGGGGTGGTAGCAATGAGTCAGGGAGCGGCAATGGGACAGGATACCCCACTCAGCTGCTCTCTGCTCAGCCCCAGGGCAGGTCCTGTGCAGAGGGCTCCGTCACAAACATCTCAGGAGGGCTGGAGCCAGCACTATAGCCTTGGTGGTAGTTTTGTTATTTCAAATTTTTGAAAACACAGAAATAATTCTCAGTGAGTGAGACATGAAAACAGGCTGGCACAGAGGGACCCAGGTATCCACACCCTGGAGTGTGGAACCTCAGGCCTGAGTAGGTGGCGAGGGGCCACAAGGCAGACTAGACCCCCACAAGGATGGAGGGCAGGTCACACCCTGCGCCTACCCTGCCAGTCCAGCGTGTGGAGGAAGTGGTTTGCATCTGTACTGCTGCTCTGCGGCGAGTCCGAGTCCGTGGGCTCAGCCTCCGGAGACTCCACCTCGGCGTCATACTGAGCCGTGGAGCCCGGCTGCCGGGGCAGCTCTGGCTTCCCTGCCAGGAAAGGGCTGGCATTAGCCAACTGTGGCCGTGCATGATCTGGGGCAAGGCCCGCAATTGGGGACAGCTGGGGAGCCGGGCCATGGACATTCATAGCCAAGACAGGGATGGCAGGGTCCAGACACGACCAGGCTGCATGCTCAGACACACAGGCACGCACACCCCTCCTGGGGATGCTGAAGCACCTCAGATAAGATGACAGAAGAAACACAAACCAGAACTCTGGTGGTCTGCCTGCCTGGGGGCTCTGTACTATTCTGTAGAGCTACTCTGAACTGAGGAGGCCTCTGTGCAGGGCACAGGCTACGACGAGGCACACATCTCCAAACGAAGCTTCCTCTTCCAGGTATAGCACCCACATCAGCAAGTGGCACAAACTGAGTGCCTGGCGTGGGTGGGTCCTACTCACCCACCAAGTTCCCAGCAGCAGCTCCTGGGTGAACCCCACCTCAGCCCCTTTTCCCTAAGCTGCAGCTGAGGAGGGAGTCCCTGCAACCTCCTACAGCCCCTGTGGCTCCAGCCTGGACCTAGCACCAGGAGCAAGGATCCAGATAGGGTGGGGCGCTGCCCAGCTGGGGCAAGTCCAGCACCCTACAGGCTCCGCCACACAACGACAGAGCCCAGAACCAGGCCACCTGCAGGTGGGAACAGTGCATGTGTTGCTGAGCCTTTGTGACCTTACCAAACTTAGACAGGATGTCCTGCTGCTCCTCTCGGCTGGAAAACAGGATCTTGGGGTTCAGCCCTCTCATGCTGGCATTCTCCCATGGTGGGGCCTCATGGCAAGGCCTGTCCCTGGGCTCCACCTCCACCTCTAGGTTCACTTGGAACAGATCCGGGTACTTTTCCTGAATGTCGCACGCATCCAGGTCGTACCTGTAGGTCCCACAGAGAGGTCAGGACTGCTTGCAAGATGCTCAATCTCCCTTCAGCGCCCAAAGGGGCTGCCCTGAGTGGGCACATGGCCCTCCCCTGCAGGACCTGTGATGCCCCAGCAAGGGTATCCCGGCTCCCTGTCAACACTGAGGATTCAGCTGGGCCCACAACCCTCAAGTCCACAAGAGGCCAGGTGCTCAGAAATGACTAGAGGACAGGACAGCCGCCACAAAGCAGAGCAATGCCTATGGCAGGTGAGCGATGTCACCAGGGGAGGTGACCCAGAATAGCGCCCCCTTGTCCTCCCAACTCTGCACTTGCCATGGAAGCTCCGCTGGTTCACATTAGGTGTTATGCAACCACAGGTGCATTTTCCATAAACACAGCAATACCCACTGAAAAGCCCCTGTTACCAGATGGCCATAAACCAAGACCTCGGGGATCCCATGCAAGATGGCTGTGGGGCCAGGACAGGCAGGATGCCTCTGTGCCCACCTGGCCCGGGCTGTGGGAAGGAGGTGGACAGGCAGGAGCACTGCAGGGCCTCTGACCTGCTCCCAATTATAAGCAGGCTCCACAGTGGTGACACTGGCCACTTCACTACACTAGCCTAACAGGGCGGTTCTGCAGCCACGGCCTTGAGTTTCCATCTGCCACCTGAAAGTCACTACATGTTACCCTTAAGTTTTATATTTAAAAAACTCCAATACTTGAAACACAAAAATGGTGACCATTTCCAACCCAGATGCTGAGGGCGCCTATGGGCGCCTCCAGGTCCCGAGTCCTGATCACCAACGGGAGGGCAGCAGTGAAGGTGCATCAGAGGGCAAAGTGGGGGCTGACCCTGCCTTGCTCTCAGACACATGTAGGTTGGTGGTAACATTTGTCACCCTGGCCCCTCCCTGCGGGCCAGACATGACTCCTGTGCACAGGAGACAGGACACCTTGCGACATGCCTCCTCGCTGTGGCCTCTGGCCAGGGAGCCTTGGTTCTTCCAGCCCAAGCCACTGAGAGTGGCCCAGCTAGCATGGAGCCATGGTCGCAGTGATGGAGGAGAGTGGAGGGGCCAGGTGGGTTGGCAGATGGGCCACCCGGGCGCCAGCTGCCAGGCACCACTCCCACCCCACCTGCAGTCCGGCTGGTCCTGGAGACTGCTCCTGAGCACGTAGGGTAGTGAGGGAACAATGGGGGTCTATGAGCAGGAAGGGCAGCCCCCAGGGCCCGGACCTTAGGAGTCAGCTTGTAGCCCTACAGGTCAGGCACCAACTTGGTCAGGCTCCACGAGGGCATGGAAGGGCTTCTGAAATGCCTGGCTGCTTGACAAAGATGCTCTCTGGAATCTGACCTGGGCACTGAAACCTTTGCTTCTTGACGGTCACAGGTCCCCCTGGGCCTCCTATGCCCCGGTCCCCAAGGACAGCATTTGACCACCAACGTTCCACCTTCCTCTCCGGCTTCAGCCCAGCTGCCTCTGTAGAGCAGCCGTACTGCATGAAGCTACCCAGGCAAGTGGTATCTTGAGACCTCTGCACCTCCATCCCCAGTGTGACTGAGGCCGTCTCAGTGACCAAGTTCCTGTCTGCAGGATGAGTGTGTCCAACACAACACAGTGTGGCGCCAATGTGTCCCCAGCACCCAGGCACTGGCAACTTAATCCCAACACAACAGTCAGTGCTGCAGGTGGTGAGCTGTGGGGCTCTGCCCCAAGAGCAGAATGCTGTCCTGTGGAAACAGGTGCAGGGGCTGGCTCGGGTCCTCCCAGCTTCCCCATGGGGCTGCCACAGCCAAGTAGCCCTCGCCAGATGCTGGTGCTGGGGCCTGGGGTTTCCTGAACTCCAGAGCCAGGAGAAATGGTTAGCTCCTCCACCGCTGCCCAGGTCCATCGGCACGCATGGGCCGCCCACAGGAGCCAAAGCTCTGGCTCTTGGCCCCTGGAGGACAGGGCAGTGAAACAGAAGCCCAGCCTTCCCTGCCCCTACCTACTCACCCAAGCTGTGCCACCACATGCTGCACACACGGTGTGCCACACTCACGCCAAGGGACCCTCAGGTCTGCCTGGCCCCGCCTCTGAGACCAAGTGACTAAGGGTCTCCTGGGTCATATCCTGATTCTGGGCACCCAGGATCCTGGGACCCACCCAGGGATGCACAGGCTCAAGCTGTGGCCACCTCACACCCTGCCTACATCCTGCTGTGTTGCCTGCTGTCTGGGCCACGGTCAGAGCATGTTATAGCTCCCGAACTTCCTGGTGACCAGTGTGGCAAGGCTTTCCAGACGCACCAGCCACTCGCACGATGTCCACACCTTGCCTGTGTGCAACAGGTTGCTTTTCTTTTTCTCTGTACTTCTTTGTGTGTTCTGGATGTGCCTTATGTCTGGTATACCCACATCTTCCAATTACTGCTGCTTGGCAACCTCTTAAGTTGCCTATTGATGAAAAACAGATTTGATTTAATAACATAAACTACCAACCTTTCCTTTTACAGTTAGCTTTTCATGTAAGAGGCTTCTGTCCAACTGCAGGTGGTGAAGACAGCCTGCATTTCCTCCTTGGAACCGTGCTGTGGAGCCTTGCTGAACTCAGGTGTGTGACCAGTCTCAAGCTAGGTTTTCTGCATGCTATGAGAAAGATTTTCCCCAAACAGGCACCTCAGGCAGGCTCCCTGATGACCTGCGCGCCTCCACGTGGTCTGGAAGGTGCTTTGTGTCTGGACTCCTCTGCTCTGGCTCCTGTACAAATGCCCATGAGCCCAATGCCTGCACTGCACGTGAACCCAGGCCTGTGGGGGCCAACAGATGAGAGCACGGGGTGGCGCCTGCCCCCGCCACACGAGTAGGGGTGCCAGCTGAGGGTGGCGTTCAGCAGACAGATTCTGTCTGCACCTTGGTCAGGTGAGCAGAAGTGGGTTCCTGCTGCTCAGGAGGCCCAGTTGCAAGTGTCAGCTTTCTCCTAACAAGCACCTGTATATCAACTTTGAGAGCAGGGTTACTCTGGCTCTCAGTTCTAGAAGTTTCAGTCCATGGCCAATGGGTCTTGTAGCTCTGGGCCTTGTTGTGGTGGAGTAGCATGTTGTGGTAGGCACTTGTGGTACAGAAAAACTGCTCACTATATGGCCAGGAAGCAAAACAGAGACAGGTGGGGAGGGAAAAGGGAGGGAGGAGAGAGAAACGTGCTGGGTCTAATAACCTCCTTGGTGCGTACCACGACCTCTCACAAGGCTCCATTTTGAATTCTGCACCCCCTCTCCCCTGAGTGTCCTTGCAGTGCATCCTGTGGAGTTGGCCACAGTCCCGCAAGGTTCTCTTCCAGCACCCCTGGGCTGCTGGTCTTAGCACCAGCTTTTGCTGTGGTGATCCAAGCCGCGTAAAACCAGTAGCTTCGTAGAGAGACACCGCCAATGTCGGTAATGCAACAGCCCACAACCCCCAGTGAACTCACGTACTCGCCATGCTGGGCCTGTCCAAGGCATTTTTCAGACTGTCAGTACCCGGTCAGTCAGCTTGAAGGTAGGGATTTTGTTTACACTTCCCTGAGAAATGTACAGACCTTTCTCTGGGAAATGTATAGAAGAGCTATGTTGGGGACCAAGACTTAACAGTGTCCAAGCATTAGCATAAGCAGTCCCAAAGGGACTGAGACCATGGCAGCAGTCGCTCTTGCTTCCTGACGGCCAGTCCTCCAGCTCTGTGCTCCAGGACTGCCTCAGCCATACACAGCCCTCTGAGAACAGCACATCCAGTGCCTGTGCTCACGCTCCTACAGGCTGGGGCTGGGACTGGGCCCCTTTGAGGCTGTGCTGCCATTCACCAGTGGCCTGGTTCCGGCACCACCCCGCTGGGCACTGTGGAGCCCACATTCTTGGCTTGCTGGGGCTGCAAACCTCAGGTGAGGGGCTGGCAAGACTGAAACCCACAGTGTTGTGCCACTGTTCACACTGTAGCCATCAGCACCCCAAATTCCATCACAAGCCTCCTCACCACCTCAGGCCTGCTTCCGTAGTGCCCCAGCACCCTGGGTGCTTCCTGAAAGGCAATGGCTCTGTGGTGACACCAGCACTGCCACTGCCTCCCTTGCTGGTCAGAGCACGTATCTGAGCATAGCTCTGGTTGAACAGAGCCCCACACCTTCCCTCCAGGGCTGGTAAGATGTTGTGCTGCCAGTAGATTGCAGTGGTCAGCCTTGTCAGTCTGTAGGTTATGACCCTGTGCAGTCTGCGACTATAAAGTTCTCAGGTGAGGTTTTTCTTACTACACAGACTGCAGCCCTTGTAGCACCTCTGAGCACGGCCCAATGCATTGGCGCAGAAGATTGCGGCTGACAGCAATGGTCTGGGAACCATTCTCCCATGTCCGGGAACCACTGCCGTCCATTCTCCCATGTCAGGTAGCTGCTCCTGTCCATTCTCTCTCTCCCCTTCCCTCGGACCTCAGACACAGCACACACCAGCCCAGCCCAGGTATCCTGCTCTCCACAGCCTCCTCTGTGCTGCAAGCTAAGAACATTCTCCTACAACTCATTACCTGCTCTGCTGCTAAACCTGTCTCAGGAATTCTTCATTTCAGCTAAGAAAACTTCTGCTCTAAAACTTACACGTGCCTCTCTGTGCGTCCCAGATCTGGTGAGGTGCCCCACCTTGCCCACTTTTCCTGAATATGCTATCTTGGTTAGTTTTCTGTTGATGTAACAGAACATCTGAGGCCTGAGTGATCTACAAAGAGAACAAAGGGTTCTCCTGCTCATAGTTGTGAGGCCAAGAGGTTTAAGTTCGGTGGCCATCTGGTGAGGGGCACCTGGTTGCCAGGGGCTTGGACAGTCCTGAGGCGTCAAAGGCAGGACAGCATCGGTGCCCTAATCCCTCCCCCTCTTGACAAGGCCACAGTCCTAGTAGAGAAGGGACCTGGCCTACGGCCAGACTAAACCTTAATCATCTCCTCAGGACAGTCCCTGCCCGTTTGTAGCTCAGCACAGGAAGTATGCCGGAGCACCAGGGGAGATATTCAGGCCACAGCCCCGTTCACTAGCCCCACTATCTGAATCATGCACAGCTTTCACCTACTCTTTCCTTCTGACCTCAGTCATCTGGTCTTTTTTTTTTTTTTTTTTTTTTTTTTT